CCTCCAACTTATACAGCACATGTTTTATGCAGCAGATGCCCTTCCAGCTGCAACCCATCATTGGACACCTATACACTCTCATTCTCACACACACTATGGACAATTGTAGCAAAACCAGTTCACCTATAGCGCATGTCTTTGGACTTGTGGGGGACACTGGTGCACCTGGAGGAAACCCACATGGGGAGAACATGCAAACTCCACACAGAAATGTCAACTGACCCAGGTGAGGCTCGACATCTTCGTCACCATATGGGGCATAGGAGCAGGACGTGTGTTTGGATATAACTCATTTTTTTGACCACAATTAATTATTGTTGTTCATTTATTTGTTTGCTGAAAATTTGAACTGAATTTAAAAATAGATTTGAAACAAATCTTTGTGGTTAACAATCTAAATTAATTATGTAGGCTAAAGCATGTCTTCAGTGGAGTGCGTCCAACACTGTTTCCTATCCACGAAAATAAAGGAGTGAAGTAAAAAGAAAAAGTAAAGTAAAGAGAAAGTAATGGAGGATGCTCATTCTTTATTCTCGCGCTGCAACTGTTTTCTGGCTAGTGTTCAGTTTGTCCATTTACAAAGTCCGCCATGTAAATAGCAAATGCGTGACACAACTGACTCTTAAAGGAAGGAAAGATGAGACTCTGATTGGTTTGATGTACGTTATGCTCAAAACACACCCATAACTCATTAAGAGAATAAGCTCAACCCTGTTAGACCATGCACCGCGACCATTTTTCCAGCCTTAAAATAGCAAAAGTGGATTCAGACATGCTCTTTATGCTTTTACGCCCTGTGCTTTAGATCTAGATCATTAAAATAAAGCCCAAAATGACTAGAGTAATGATGCTGATAAACTCAGCCTTGTATCACAAGAAAAATAATCTCAAAATGAATTAAAATGGAAACCAAATAACAAAATTTCTCACAATATAAGTATTTTACTCCATATTTGATCTAATAAGAGCTTTCAAAATCATAAAGAAATTCTTTTGAAAAGTCACGCACACTTATAATTAACTTTCTCATGTCATCGCAATGCATTTTCCCACAAAGGATACATGTGGTGTTGCCAAAGCTATCTTAGAAGGCAACACAGTCATGCTTCCTACACACTGGAACCAGCTTTGTGTGGGGAGCAAGCTTACAGTGCCTAAAAATGCTGCCTACGCAGTTCACTAGGATTTGGAACACAGCAGCGATAAAAAAAGAGCACTTTTACTGTAAGACAGAGGAATTTTTTGGATGAGGAATAATCCTCAGCAGCCATCAAACACAAAACCGTACCAAAATCAATACAAAACTCAAGACAAGTGCCACAGAAATAGCTGGCTATATTCAGCCGCACGGTGTTCAGAAATAAAAATTAGCTGTCTTAAATAATTTGGGGAGTGGCTGTTACATAAAACGCTTGAGTTATTTGATATTTTTATAAACAGACATGATTTCAGCAGTGGCGTCCGGCCTGAAAACGCAAAACGTGCCCGGCAGACTGAGTGTTTTGGGTAATAATCTTAAATAAATGACAACTAGCTATTTACAAGCAAGAGCCGCAGCATGAAGTGTATTATTTCTCACAGATGGACTTGAAATTCCCCTCAAATGCTTTAAAGGGAATCAATAACTCTATCTGCAGTCCCAGAATGCAAACAATCCGTCTGTTGGCAATCCCATAAATTAGGCAGGCAAATAAAGCTGCCAATGCGTGCACTAACCGAAGACCACAGGGAACGTCTGACTGGCTAAAACGCATACGGGTTTATGGCTTTCGAGTGTTTCTGAAGCTTGAGGATTATTTGATTTGATATGGCAATAAACATTAAGACGCAAGTAAAAGAAAGAAAAAGCCAATGACTCATTGGAATGTATGGAATCATGTGGAGTGGCAAAATTTATCGAAATAAAACCAATGTGGCTCAGTGCAATTATCAAATGGTAGAAGCTGAAATTTGAAGGGTTAGTTTACCCAAAAATGTATATGTACTCACTTTTTTTCTCACTGTCAAGTGGTTCCATACTTATTTATTCTGATAAACACTAAATATATTTTGAAGAAAGCTGAAAACCTGCAACCATTGACTTTTATAGTGGGAAAAACAAATACTATGAAAATCAATGGTTATTGGTTTCCAACATTTTTCTAAATATCTTCTTTTGTTTTCAACAGAAGATGATGGTTTGAAGAAACCTGAAAACCTGTAACAACTGACTTCTATGGCAGGAAAAAAATAGTATAGATGTCAATGGTTACAGGTTTCCAACATTTTACAAATTATCTTCTTTTGTGTTAAACAGAAGAAAGAAGATATTTTGAAGAAAGCTGAAAACCTGTAACCATTGACTTCCATAGTGGGGAAAAACAAATATGGAAGTCAATGGTTACTGGTTTCCAATATTTTTTAAATATCTTCTTTTGTGTTAAACAGAAGAAAGAAGATATTTTTAAGAAAGCTGAAAACCTGTAACCATTGACTTCCATAGTGGGAAAAACAAATATGGAAGTCAATGGTTACTGGTTTCCAATATTTTTTAAATATCTTCTTTTGTGTTCAACAGAAGAAATACGATACTTTGAAGAAACCTGGAAGCTTGTAGCCACTGACTTCAGTAGTAGGAAGAAACACATACTATGGAAGACAATGGTTACCGGTTTCCAACAATTTCCAAAATATCTTATTTGGTGTACAACAGAAGAAAAAGGATATTTTAAGGAAACCTGAAAACCTGTAACCACTAACTTCCAAAGTAGAAAAACAAATACCATGGATGTCAATGGTTACAGGTTTCCAACATTTTTCAAAATATCTTCTTTTGTGTTCAACAGAAGATAGAAGACATTTGGATGAAAACTGAAAACCTGTAACCACTGACTTCCATAGTATATTTTAAAGAAACCTGAAAACCTGTAACCACTGACTTCCATAGTAGAAAAAACAAATACAATGGAAGTCAACGGTTACCGGTTTCCAACATTTTTTGAAACATCCTTTTTTGTGTTCAACAGAACAAACAAACTCAAACAGTATTGGAACAAGTAAAGGGTTGAGTAAAGGATGACAGAATATATATACATATATTTACATATATACACACACAAACACACACACACAGTTGAAGTCAGAATTATTAGCCCCCCTGTTTATTTTTCTCCCCTAATTTCTGTTTAACGGAGAAATTTTTTTCAACACATTTCTAAACATAATACAGTAGTTTTAATAACTCATCTCTAACAACTGATTGATTTTCTTTGCCATGATGACAGTAAGTAATATTTTACTAGGCATTTGTCAAGACACTTCTATACAGCTTACAGTGACATTTAATGGATTAACTAGGTTAATTAGGTTAACTAGGCAGGTTAGGGTAATTAGGCAAGTTATTGTATAATGATGGTTTGTTCTGTAGACAATCGAAAAGGTTAAAGGGCTAATAATTTTGACCCTAAAATGGTGTTTAAAAAACAAAAAAAATGCTTTAATTCTAACTGAAATGAAACAAATAAGACTTTCTCCAGAAGAAAAAATATTATCAGACATATTGTGAAAATGGTCTTGCTCTGTTAAACATAATTTGGGAAATATTTAAAAAATCAAAAATCAAACGGAGGCTAATAATTCTGATTTCAACTATACATACATATATACATACATACATACATACATACATACATACATATATATATATATATATATAATTATTTTTTATTATTATTATTATTTTTTTCCCCAGAGTGTTTCACAGAGTTTTAGAGAGTTCAGAGTAAATTGTGGCACTGTGTGTTTTTAAATGCACACTGTTCATAATCGTCTGTTTTCAGTAATCCAGATGAACTCATCTCTTCATCTGTTTTGAGTTTGTCTTGCTTATAATGTGCATTTGGGAAAAAAACATGCGCCAACATCTTCCAAACTTGTAATAAAAAGCACTTATAAACCTACTGTCAACAAGAGCCTTAGCCATTCCCTGCTTTTCTCTATTATTTATTTTTAGATGTTTAATTTTGAGTAGTTGCAGAAGATGATATTAGCATTAGAAAATGTAGAGTTTACAACAGCCGTTCATTCATTCATTTTCTTGTCGGCTTAGTCCCTGGGAAAACACAACAGCCATAAAATCTGAAATGTATGGCTCTCTTAATTTTAATTCATCAGAATTTTTAAGTAATACTTTATTTAATTTAATTTATTTATAATGCTTATGTTTTTGTAATGTAAATGGTTCTTATTCTTTTAATATTTTTTAAAATAACAACAACAACACTTTGTTTAATTGTAATACAATTTTATTATTAATTTATACTTTATTGAAATGGTATATTTCTTATTTTAATATTTTAATAAAAAAATAAATATTGCTAGTTTCTTAATACAATTTATTTATTTTAAACATTTAATATTAAATATTTCTTTTATTACTATGTTGTTCTTTAATAATAATGAAAACAACAACAAAAACGATAATAATAAGAAGTCAAAAAAGGTCTAACTGTGAATTTTAAATCACTTTTCTAATCCACAACGCAATTTTATTAAAAACAAAACAAAAGCAAAACTAAAAAAAACAAACCCCCCAAAAAAACTAAACAAAATAAAATAGAAACAAAACTAAACCAAAAACAAAACTAAAAAACTAAACCAAAAAACAAAACAAAATAAAAAAAGAAAGGAAACAAAACTAAACTAAACAAAAGCAAAACTAAAGAAAACTAAACCAAAAAACAAAACTAAATTTAAAAAAGGAAACAAAACTAAACTAAACAAAATCAAAACTAAAAAGACTAAACCTAAAAACAAAACAAAATTTTAAAAAGAAACAAAACTAAACTAAACTAAAGCAAAACTAAAAAAATCAAACCAAAAAAAAAAAAAAAAATTTACAAAAAGAAACAAAACTAAACTAAACAAAAGCAAAACTAAAAAAAAAAAAACAAAGCCAAAAAACTCCAGCAAAACTCTACAAATAAAAGCAAGACTGTGCTCATGTATGTGTGTGTACCTACGTTCTTCAGGTGAGACGTGGGGCAGAGCCTGACCTCGGATCAGTCTACAGGTGGAGCCGTCTCCAGCACACACACCACAGTTGTCCTCTTTAGCGTTGCTGCCCAGCTGTCTGTCACAGCCAACCTCCTGTTAGAAACCACACAAATCCATCACAAATTAAAATCCAAAAGCACAAGATGGTCAAGACATGACACATAAAGCCAGGAAAGATTCCATTCAGTCTATAAAAATACTCATAACAATAAAGACCATATATTTTTTTACTATGACACTAATCCTGCCTGTAGATATGGATACCCCTGTCTAAATAAATGATTCACTGAATCAATGATTCAATTCTTTTATTCAGTGAGGATCAATGAAAGAGTTCAAAAAGAGTTCATCCCTTTCCCTTATATATACCCTTATATATAAGGGTTTACCTTCAGTTTTGAAGGGATTAGGGCACAGAGACAGGCCTTTCCAAATGGACAGGGAACAACTTCCCTGCGCAAAGGATCATGGGGGGTTTTAAAGGCCCTTCGAAGTGGCCAATTTTGAGCACTTCGCTTTGGAACAACACTTCAGTATGGTGGTCATGATTGTTAAGTGCGCTACGGGGGCGATATATCTCATTTGGAATGCAAACACTCATGCCTTTATGAACAAATCATTGAATCGCTGAGTCAAATGAATGAACTATTTGAAAACAGATTCGATCGGAAACAAAAATTTTAAATGTTGTTTTGAGCAGCTCAAATGTTCTTCTCTTGCATTTAAAGTATTTCAAAATACGCCACCACAAAAACTGCCGGGTTGTTGTAACCCAAATGTTCAAGGTCAAATATGGATGAACCCAATCGTTCAGTTGACTTTTAAAATTTTATTTTACTTTAAATTACAATTTTCAACCAACGATGGTTTTTTTTTTTGTATAGATATTTGACCCACTAGGTTACAACAACACAGCATTTTAAAACTGTAACGAAGGAATTTAAAATGTAGCACATTCAATATAGGGGTGCACAATATATTGTTTGAGCATCGATATCAGAATGTGTGTATCCGCAATAGTCTGATCGCAGGATTAGATTATTTATTAAAGAGAAAAAAATAAAGATATTAATAGTTATGACCATGTTATTATTTAATTTTCCAATTTCTGTACCTGAATGCTGTTAGACTCTCTAGAAAAGCATGAAGCACTGTTTATTAAATGTTTATTTTTGCTCTGTTGTATATATACAGTTGAAGTCAGAGTTGTTAGCCCCCCTTTGATTATTTTTTTTTTCTCTTTTAAATATTTCCCAAATGATGTTTAATAGAGCAAGGACATTTTCACAGTATGTCTGATAATGTTTTTTCTTCTGAAGAAAGTCTTATTTGTTTTATTTCAGCAAGAATAAAAGCAGTTTTTAATTTTTTAAACAGAATTTTAAGGTCAAATTTATTTGCCCCTTTAAGCTATATATTCTTTCAACAGTCTACAGAACAAACCATCATTGTACAATAACTTGCCTAATTACCCTAAATTGCCTATTTACCCTAATTAACCTAATTAGGCCTTTAAATGTCACTTTAAGTGGTAGAGAAGTGTCTTGTACATAAAATATAGTCCTGTATATAAAATATAGTAAAATATTATTTACTTTCATCAAGGCAAAGATAACATAAATCAGTTATTAGAAATGAGTTAATAAAATGATCATGTTCAGAAATGTGTTGGAAAAATTCGTTAAACAGAAAATGGGGAAAAAAATAAACAGAGGGGTTTATATTTCTGACCTAAACTGTGTGTGCACACATACACACACACACACACACACACACACACACACACACACACACACACACACACACACATAGAGCGACAGCAGATCAATAAACTCACTACAGATTGACAAATATCGCTGCTGTTGGACAACATAATGTACTTTTCTAGTGCTGTATTTATACTAGACCTGTACGATTCTGCCTAAAATGAGAATCGCAATTTTTTGCTTAAAATCAAGATCACGATTTTCTCATGATTCTGTAGATGTAAAATAAAGGTTAATATGAGTAGCCTATTATTATTGTTATTCTCAAACATATGGTAAAACAACAGTAATAATATTATGTAGGTCTAATGTTGGTTAAAATGGTCAATATTGAATAGACTTTGAATGGGAATTATACCTTATAAATACAGTATGTGTCTCTTTCATCACAATTTGGAGGTGTCTTAAGCAACATATAAAAAACAATGTGAACACTCGTGCGGCCGCCATTACTTCTCCCCTGAACTTGAAAATATGATTGACAGAATTGTAGAAATGCTGGATTAAGATCGTCTAGGGCAGGGATGTCAAACTCAATTCCTGGAGGGCCGCAGCCCTGCACAGTTTAGTTCCAACCCTGCTCCAACACACTTACCTGTAGCCTGCACTTACCTACAAGGACTCAATTAGTTTGATCAGGTGTGTTTAATTAGAGTTGGAACCAAACTGTGCAGGGCTGCGGCCCTCCGGGAATTGAGTTCCCTGGTCTAGGGGGTCGAATCGAGATTGCGATCTTTTTTCGATTAATCGTGCAGCTCTATATTATACTATAGTAATCTGGTTATGTTTGCTTTGCTTTGTCTTTTTTGGGGTTAATTATTGTGATATCCCGATTGCAACAGAGAAATACTGGGAAATATCTCAAGACAGATGGCATTTCATGTCACGTTCAGCCTTATAATCTTAAGATGTGAGCAAAATCATCTGTTTTGTCATCACATTAGACATTACACTAAAGAATCATTCAAACACAAGCTATAAAGTGACGTTGGCACATTAGCAACAGTTTCTGCTGTTCTGACGTCAGCTGCAGATGTGAATGAATGGCGAAAGAAAGTAGTTCCTCATAAAAAAATTATTTTTAGACTCTCTGTGTTTAGTTTTCGTTTTTATATACACCATTGTGTCGTCGAACTGTTGCATAAATGCAATATCACACTCGTAGCAGTGCAATATGGCTGTATATCTCCCACCAGTGCTGATATGCAGTCATATTGCACTGCTAATCATGTGATGTTCATGTGTGTATTTATATTTATACATATACACAGCACACAAACCTCATCTCATCACATCTATACCTTGTTTGAGTTGTCATCCTGATAAATGTTGCGTCAAATATGAACAAAACCCAATGATGATTTTTTAAAATTAAATTAAAATTAATTCTTAACTCAGTGGTTGTTTTTCCCACATTTAACCCAGCATTAAATTACAACAACCCAGCATTATTAGCGTATAAAAAAAAACAACAAAAAATATTTTGCATAAATTATGCAAGCGGCTCAGTGGGTAGCATTGTCGCCTCACAGCAAGAAGGTCGCGGGTTCAAGCCCCGGCTGGGCCATTTGGCATTTCAGTGTGGAGTTTGCATGTTCTCCCCCTCTTTGCATGTGTTTCCTCCAGGTGCTCCGGTTTCCCCCACAGTCCAAAGACATGCGCTATAGGTGAATCGAATAAGCTAAATTGGCCAGTGTATGAGTGTGTGAATGCAAGAGTGTATAGATGTTTCCCAGTAGTGGGCTGCGGCTGGAAGGGCATCCGCTGGATAAAACATATGCTGGAATAGTTAGCGGTTCATTTCACTGTGGCGACCCCTGATTAATAAATGGACTAAGCTGAAAATAAAATGAATGAATGAATGAATCCAGCCCACAGTATTACCATGGTAGATTCAAATTAATGCAGAACAGAAAGCTATCATGCTCTGGTGTGGATGCCAATGCAGTTATCATTTCTGGTGTAAACTGTCTTTTACATTCCAACTCGGACTCATTATCAGCTCTTTACCATTTTTCTGATTCATCCCCAGAGCTGACACACTTTTTGGAAAGAAACGCAACTTATTTCTGACAGATCGACGGGACCTCGACCAACAAATCATGCTTCGGCCGTAAAAGAAACTGACAGTAAAATGAATGCATTGAGAGACTGGCCAGAACACGGCTCCAAACTACAATGTTTAAGCTTAACTAGCACCATAAAAATTCATGGAGAGCCAACATATAAAACATGAGAGAACACTGAATCTTTTTCTTTCTTTTTCGAAGTTTCTTGCACACAACCTTCCTCTCAGCGTCCACAATATTTTCCCAGAAATCTGTGACGGTGACGCTCTGCTAGAAATCTGCCATCCGCACCAGAAAAAGCATGCCCAGTTTTAATGCGAGACTCTGTTTACACTAGCCGGATGATAGGAAAAGCAGCCAGAGAAAGCAAACAGCACGATTTTACCCAGTAGCTCTGGTAAACAAGCACAAGTAAACAGACAAGCTTCATTTACGCCAATTTACCTAATACTCGCAGGAGGTGAGGTCAAACTGGGTGCAACGCAAGAAAATTTCGCATTTGCTTAGCAATCATTTGGGAGTTTCAGGATAGCAAGGCCAAATCGATGCATTAAAAACAATGCACTCTCAATAAATAATAAAACATTAAATAAATAAATAATTAATAAAGTATTCAATACATAAATAATTAATAAAACAATGAATACATTTTATCTGAACAATATTCCAATCATCAAGTACATGTAAATTAAAACAGCAAATTCATTAAATAAATAATAAAATATTTAATAAATAAATAAATGAAAAAACACAAAAATAAAAGCATTCAATGGTTGAATAACTAATAAAACAATAAATGAATATATTTAATCTGAAAAAATTATAAGTATCTTGTAGATGTAAATAAAAACACACCTAGGTCACTAAATAAATTATAAAAAAAATAAATAAATAAAATAAATAAATAAATAAATAATTCATAGAAATACATGAATGAATTAATTAATTAATTAATTAATTTAAATGTAACAATATTCAAAGTATTAAATACATGTAAATTAAAGCAAATTTTTGTGAATAAATAATAAATTGTTTAATAATTAAATAAATAAATAAATAATACATTTAATAGATAAATAATAAAGCATTTAATACATAAATAAGTTATAAAACAATAAATAAAATAATAAATTATTTTAATCTGAAAAATGTTCAAAGTATCAAATGCATATAAATTAAAGCAAATTCAATAAATAATAAACTATTTCATAAATAAAAATAATAAAATACTTAAAAATAAATAAATAATTATAAATAA